TTTAATTCTTTATGGTTCAAGTCCAGTGTGTGCTTCTTGACTGAGCCTTTGAACCACTTCAGTTCATGGGTGTTGTTCTTTGAACATTTACTATATTTACTATATAAACTATTAGATTGTTACACTCAAACCTGGACTATCAATTAGGTTTTCATAATTTATTACCTTAAATGTATTATAAACAATATAAATAAGTCCAATGGAAGCAAACTTTTTATCATCTTTCTTCACTTTCCTCATAGGACTTACCTATACTATAAATTCTCTAAATATTGATAATTGCTAATTAGCACAGGATGCGTAGAGTTGACGAAGTACTTTATGGAGTAATAAAAGACTTTTAAAGTAAATGTTTACACTAACCGCGTAATAATGAAGTAAAACATAGGTTTTTAACTCTTTGCTATTAAAGAATAATTGTAGTAATCTTACAGTCCAAATTCAATTATCATCTTTAGACCCTAGGAAGGGAAGCCTCTGCTCTGTGCTAGAGCTTCAGATGGTCTTTTCTAACTACATGCTTCTTCATGAAGATATAGCCTTGAGGGACACGAAGATATGCCACTTACATCTTATAGTTTCTTTCTATACCATAGCACAGCTCAAGACCTGTGACTTTCTTGCTCAAATGGCCTCAAGTCTACTTTTAGGAGCTTCACAGATTGTTGCTGGGATTCGTCCTCCAATGGATGTATTGTGACACTGGTGTGCTCAGCCTAAGTTGACTGAAAGACTAAAATGGGCAGCTTTTTGAAACAGGGAAAACATACAGCTTGTGTATAAGATGCTCATGTATGTTCATATATGTGAAGTTTCTCATGGTCACATATGCAGCATCTTATACACAAGCAGTGAGCTAGAGTCAGGTAAGGGCAGAGTCAGGTAAGGGCAGAGAAGTGGAATTAACCAAGGTGAAGAGCTGGCTCTGTATGGCCACCACATGCTGCCATGGGGTTCTTAGGAGTCCAAGTATTTTAAATATGATCCTGAACTGTCAGATTTTTATGGAAGTATCTTTACAAAGTAGGCTAATACTATGTATTTTTAGTTTGATCTTATTTAAAGGATGGAACTGCAGGCCATTATCTTAAATGGAACAACTGAGACGCAGAAAGACAAATACTGCACGTTCTCATTTGCAAGTGGGAGCTAAATAATGTATACATGTAGATGTAAACTGTGGAATGATAGAAAAATGGAGGCTTGGAGGGGTGAAAGGGGGTGGATGATAATAAATTACTTAATAATGCAATCTACATTATTCCAGTGGTAGATATACTAAAGCCCTGATTTCACCACTATGCAATATATCAGTATAACAAAATTATAGTTGTATTATATACATTTATAGAAGTAAAAAATTTATCATTTAAAAATATTTAGACATGTGGTGTGTGAGCTGCCACACTCACATTCTTGCCTTGGGACCCCCACTTTTTAGAGACCCTATTTATTTTAATACTTGGAATTATAACTAAAAGGTTATAATGACCCCTTGAAAAGCATGGAGATTGACCTCTGTGTTACTGAAAATCCATGTGTAACATTTAACTGTCCATAAAAGTTAACTATTAATAGGCTACTGTTGATCAGAAGGCTTTTTGATAACATAAACAGTTGATTAACATGTAGTTTGTATGTTATATATTACGCATACTGTTTTCTTACAATGAAGTAAGCTGGAGAAAGGAAATGTTATTAAGAAAATCATAGCTGGGCATGCTAGCTCATGCCTGTAATCCCAGAAATTTGAGAGGCCAAGGCAGGTGGATCCCCTGAGCTCAGGAGTTTGAGGCCAGCCTAGGCAACACGGGAAAAATCCCATCTCTATCAAAGTACAAACAATTAGCCAGGAGTAGTGGTGCATGCCTGTTTTCCCAACTACTTGGGATGCTGAGGGGGGTGAATTTCTTGAGCCTGGGATATGGAGATTGGAGTGATCCGAAATTGTGCCACTTTGTTTCAACCTGAGGAACAGAGTGAGACCCCATCTCAAAAAGAGAAAAGAAAATCGTAAGGAAGAGAAAATATACTTACTATTCATTAAATGCAAGTGGGTTGTCATAAAGTGTTCTTCATCCTTGTAGTCTTTATGTTGAGTAGACTGAAGAGAAGGAAGGGTTGGTCTTGCTGTCTCACAGGTGGCAGAGGCTGAAGAAAATTCACTTGTAAATGGACTTACATAGCTTAAACTTGTATTCAAGGTTCACTTTTATATATAAATGCAATATTTCCAAAAGGAAAAGCATGCCTGAAATGTGATATGATTTCTATATCTACTAATGTTATATTTTATGGCAAATCTCATAGGCTTTTAGATCTATATCAATCTTGAATTTATATTCTTGTTTTCGGGAATTAGTTCCAAATTTGTATATCTGATATGTATTACTTTCTATATTCTTGAATGAAATGAAATTTACCAATTACATCTGTTTGCTTGTTTTGGTACCTACGTGTAATTGTCATTTCTTTTATTTGAAATAAAAGAAGAAATATTATTTTTCATCAAACGTGACAAACTTAATGTAAAAAAATGCATCGTTTTGTTACGTGTCCTTATGCACTGGATTGGAGTAGAATCACGTTTCCGATTATCTGTGTATATTTTGGTGCTTCTATATTTCTTGGTTTACATCTGTTCTGATTTAGTGAATACATATATTCTTTTCACTTCAGACCCTTCTCTCCTTTTGAACATCTCCCCAATTGAATGTATTTGTAGATAAGGAAGTGTTATAATTTAATAAATCATTTTTTCAAATAGTTTTTCATATTTGAGTAAAGTTAATCTCATATTTTCAGAGAGCTGATTTTTTGATGAACATGGTTAATGCTTTTTACTAATATGAAGCAATGTAGTCTGAAGATATTAAATGCAAGAATTAAAGCAGAATTTACTGGGAATGTAGTTCTTTACTCCTATATGGGAGAGTAAAAATGTAGTAGAGACATTAATAATAATGTATATGCATTCACTGAGAAACAAAATCAGTTCTAATTATAAATTTATTCAAAATAAAAATAATCATTGGATGAGTATTTTAGATGCTCTCCTATGAGTAGAAACATAGATTTTTAAACATTGATTTTGACAGTTTAAAATCAAATATAGTTTTTACTATTATCTTGTTTCACAGTTACGTTCAGAATGATCATATTGTGGTTGCAATGAGCTGTGATAGTGCCGGTTTTCCTTTAAGTGTCCTCAGAGAAACATAAACCCATTATACATTAGGATGAAAGACATTTAGATAAGTAATTTCATGTATGTTCTCATGAGATTATTGAATCACCCCGATAAACAATGTGAGTATATTGTAAAGTTAAATATAGAGTTCAAAGGAACTCATTGTTTTCTCTGGAAAATACCCTCTGGATTTCAAGCAAGAAACTGGCAAAAAATAGTTTTGGATAAAGATTGTGTTTAAGCTTAAATGATGGATAACATAAATTATTCTAGAAGTTTACAGTAGATAATTAAAAGTACTTTGTGTCATAATAGTCCTATATACTGAGGAAAGTAGGCATCCCGTTAGAAGCTATACTAATTGAAATTCAACTGGCCTTGATTTAGTAACTCTCTATAGCCAGTTAAAATGAGAAACCGCAAACAGAACATGTTAAATAATCTTATAAATAACTGAAGTATGCTATCAACCAATAAAACCCTTATTCACTATAGCAAACCATTTGTCATTTTTAGGATACTCTAATAGAAATGATGAACTATGATGACTAGCATGTTTTCCTAAAAATGCTATAAGGTTACCTGAATGTTTTGCCTGTACTGAAAATTATCAATTATAACTATTCAAATAAAGTGGAGTTATAATCTAAATTTGCAGCATAAAGTATGCAATATTAAATGAATACATATGAACTGATTTCATAGTGCTTAAATATTTTTATTAAATCTCTTAAAGGACAAACAAGGTCTTTCTATTCAGTTAAGTGGCAAACTGCTTGTACGTAAACATACAGAAGTGAAAGCAATCCAGTGATCTAGCTCAGAGCAAAAGCCAAAGTGCTTAAAATGCTTATAATAAAGACTTCTGGTTTGACCACTCCCCGACTCTGTTCTTATTACCTAAGGTGCTTTCGGTGCCCACTTTCGCTGTTCCTCAAATACACCTGTATCCTCCTGCCTCCGGTTATTTGTGATTACTGCTTCCTCTTTGCAAGTTTCACTGTCTCATCTCTAAGACAATGCTTAAATGTCACTACGACTCCAGTAAGGCCTTTTCTAGCCCCCCACCTCTTCTTAGTCTCCTTGTCCTATTTTTCCCCGTTGTCCTTTCTACCATATTATTTAGTTTTACTTGTTTCTACTTTTTAATTGTCTGTCTTCCCTCTAAAGTAAGCTTTGTAAAGGCAGAGAGTTTTTGTTCAGCTAGTTAACGGCAGTATTTACAGTGTCCAGGGTATGGGAATGCCTGATAAATATTTATTGAATAAGTCTAAGGCCTTATTCATGTCTATTTTCTATTGAAATAGTCATGTAAATATTTAATTGAATATTGACATAGAAAACATACCACAGTTTGTGGCAAATTGTATATGAGGAAAGATGGGAAAACCAAAGTGCATTTTTTATGTTTCTAGTCGTTTTGATAAGATAATGGATGCTATTTAATGTGCTTACAGTATGCCAGGAACTATCTAAAGTGCTGTGCATATATATATCTAATTTATGCCTTACAACAACCCTGTGAAACAAGTACTATTATCAGCTCCTTTACAGTGAAGAAACTAGAGATTAAATAAAGCTGTCATGCAATTAATGTGTAGGAAGGCAAGATAGGACAGCTGATTCTAGAACTCGTACTTTCAACCAAAGACTCATGGTTAAAATGCTGCTCCATTGTTGCTCTGAATAGCTTCATTTGTATCTTTTTAATTCATTTTTATTTTGGTAAAACAAAAAAAATTGCGAGTAATCATTTCTGTTTAATCACTGTGGTTTAAAATCACTCAGTTACTTTTTTCCCTTTTTGCAGTGGGATGCCATCACTGAAATGGATGAACATAATAGGCCCATTCACACGTACCAGGTATGTAATGTAATGGAACCAAACCAAAACAACTGGCTTCGTACAAACTGGATCTCCCGTGATGCCGCTCAGAAAATTTATGTGGAAATGAAATTCACACTGAGGGATTGTAACAGCATCCCATGGGTCTTGGGGACTTGCAAAGAAACATTTAATCTGTTTTATATGGAATCAGATGAGTCCCATGGAATTAAATTCAAGCCAAACCAGTATACAAAGATCGACACAATTGCTGCTGATGAGAGTTTTACCCAGATGGATTTGGGTGATCGCATCCTGAAACTCAACACTGAAATTCGTGAGGTGGGGCCTGTAGAAAGGAAAGGATTTTACCTGGCTTTTCAAGACATTGGGGCGTGCATTGCCCTCGTTTCAGTCCGTGTTTTCTACAAGAAGTGTCCCTTCACTGTTCGTAACTTGGCCGTGTTTCCTGATACCATCCCAAGGGTTGATTCCTCCTCTTTGGTTGAAGTACGGGGTTCTTGTGTGAAGAGTGCTGAAGAGCGAGACACTCCTAAACTGTATTGTGGAGCTGATGGAGATTGGCTGGTTCCTCTTGGAAGATGCATCTGCAGTACAGGATTTGAAGAAATTGAGGGTTCTTGCCATGGTAAGAAACAAATATTTAAATACTTTATCTTGCTTTTAAATGATTTAAATTAAAAAAAATTTTTAATAACAAGTACTAATTATACATATTCATGGGTGCATAGTAATGTTTTGATACAATATATGCTGATCAGATCAAGGTAGTTAGTACATCCATCATCTCAAACATTGATCTTTTCAAAATGATGATTTATTAAAAGTGAATGTTGTACATTTATTTTCAAATAATACATTTTTTAGTGGTATTCCTGACAATTAATTGTGAAAGGAATGGATTCATAGTAACTATAAGAAAATTGCTGTTGTTTTTCTCCTTGGAAAGGTGTATGAAAGTGTACCAAAATGCTTTCAGTAAGGTAGTTAAACAATACGAATTGCTCTATTCACTAATTTTTATAAAGGAAAGCAGCATCAACAGCAGCAACGAAAAGCACTGAGGTTCAAAATAGTGATTTCCCTGGTGTTCACATTTTTATGGTTTATAGAACTATGACATTTAAAGACAGCAATACTTATTTCTATTATATTCAATAGTAATACTTGAATCATACTTAAATGGAATTATATTTAAATAAATGAGGAATTCATATATTATTTCAAAAACATATAAGCTAGTTTATATGGATGTTATGTGTGATGTGTTTAATGGTTGAATATTGACCTGATCAGCGGTTAATTAATCCTTTGCTATTATTACATAGAATTTTTCACCATATAACACATTAGCTTTTTATTTTAGTAGTAGTATTTGTGTAACATCTAATTGTCAGGAAGTATTAACATTACACAATGCTAGTTAAGTTTAGAACTATACCTTTCACACTGTTATAACAATGAGATACCTACAATTTTCAAGATGAAACATTTACTTTTTATGTAATTCATTTTATGAAGGCTTATTACCTAACAAGTATATACATTCAAAATGTTTATATTCCCCCCCAATAAAGAGCATATATTTGATCATGTTTAGATTTAGGACTCATAATCAAAACACAAATAGAAATAAAATTATTTATTGGTAAATAGTCTTGGGAAATAGTAATGTACTGGAGATATTTCCTGCTTGATGATAACTTCTTTAGAGGGTGTTTTCTATAGCACCAGCTTGAATTTATTGATTTCTTTGTTGATGTTATATTCACATTCATTAAAAAGGATGAGAATAAGAAAAACGTACCTGATGCATATAAGGTGAAGTTTTAAATATATGCGAAGTTTTAAAGGTCTGTTTATAAAACACTTGGGTTCTTTACTCTTGAAAAGTTCACTAGAGCTGCCAGTGATGATTATGTTTTGTAACTGGAGAATATTAATATTTGCATGAGAAGTTTGTAGTATATACTTTACAAAGCATGAATCACCTTTCCTCTGCTTTTAATCATGAAACTATGTTTCATTCAAATTTATTAATATAGTTTGCCAGTATTGTTTATCAAAATTTTTATTCACTTATAACAAGGATTTATAATGGAGAAAAATTAAACCATAAATGATCCTGGAGGGATCTAAATATATTTTACATTGGAAAGTGTATGCTTTAGTTTGTTCTCATACCACCATAAGAACTTCCCGAGACTGGGTAATTTATGAAGGAAAGAGGTTTAAATGGCTCACAGTTCGACAGCCTTAACAGAGAGCACTACTGGAATGCCTCAGGAAACTTACAATCATGGCAGAAGGGGAAGCATGCATGTCTTACCCTGGCAGCAGAGGAGAGAGAGACAGAAGGGGGGAAGTGCCACACACTTTCAAACGAACAGATCTCATAGCTCACCATCACAAGAACAGCAAAGAGGAAGTCCACCCTCATGATTCAGTCACTTCCCACCAGTCACCTCCCCTATAATTTCTAGATGAGATTTGGGTGGAAACACAGAGCCAAAACATATCAGTACACTAAAGAAAAATTTATGCATATGAATAATAGTGAAGTGGAGAAGACAATAAGATCTAAGGAAAAAATGTATTACATATAGTAACCATGTGTTTTTTTGATACAGGCATATAATATGTGTAATAATCACATCAGTTTACCACATTTTAAATTAGGTGGAAGTTAGCAGTTTCTTGCTAAAATAATGAACTTTTAAAAATATTTAAAGAATTATGTAATAATCTAAGGATTTATATGATTTGCTATTATTAAATATTTGTTTTTCTTTATGGCATTTACTACAGAATTAAAATAACCAACTATGATGGCTAGATTTTTTTTTTTTTTTACTTAATGGGCTTGCTATATGAAATTTTATTTTTAGTTATATGTCTTGAAAATTTCTTCAGTAATTTGTCAAAGATGGTTTTGGACAAATGATAAACAGCATCAGTTTATCTACAGCTTCTACTTGTCTGCTTTTATGGCTTGTTATCTTTATTATCTTCTGTCTGATTGCAGAAACATGAGAGAGTCAGTACAGAACAATTGTTCATCATCTTGTAGTAGATGGCTGAAATTGGAAGAATTAAGTTTGAGTTGAATGTCTATGGCTTATAAACCTTGAAACCAGGTGTTTAATTTGTAAAGTAGTCGTTATAATCACCTGATGATAAAATACAGGTAAAACTATTAACAAGCAAACAGGCCTGACTCTAATTGAATATAATGAATTATTTACAAACAAAAGGAAAATCAAAGTGAATGTGGCGACTACATTATTTTTAAAGAGATATATATTGCAGTGCTAGCAGTGTTCATTTTAGAGTGCTTACTTTTTTGTGTGTTCTTGATGTTTCATGTTGCCCCTTTCTTTCCTCTGATGAGAATTTTATCATTGCTTTTATTGCTATCTATTCATAACTTATCTCACGAAAAAAATCTCTGAATTGCATATAATCAAAGGTCAAACTAATGCAAACGTATATGAAAAAACTGTAGTTCAAGTAGAAATGTGACCACATATATAATGGGAAAAGAAAAAAATGAGTATATCACTATACTAATTAGTCTATTCTAAAAACAATTAATTAACCTACACAGTTTTTTTTTTTTTAGAGACATGGTCTTATTCTGTCACCCACCCAGGCTGGAGTGCAATGGTGTGACCGTAACTCATTGCAACCTTGAATTCCTAGGCTCAAGCAATTCTCCTGCCTTCGCCTTCCAAAATGCTGAGATTGCAGGGATGAGCCACTGCTTCCAGCCCCAAACTATTGATATTTTTGAGGATTTACTATTTCTTAATCACTTTCTTAAGTGGTAGAGATAAATATAAATAAGGCATATGTTCCGATTATCTACTGCTATGAGACAAAACTGCCCAAAATATGTAGTCTTAAAATCACAATGATTTATTATTTTTCAGGGCTCAGCTAGGTAGTTCTGCTGTATTACAACATAGTACAATAAACAGAGATCATTCATTTAGCTGAATTCCACTGGAAGCTTGACTGGCGTTGGAATGTCCAAGATAGCCTCTCATCTTCCAGGGCCTTTCTCTGTGTGGCGTCTCATCATTTAGTATCTATCCCAAGCTTTCCTGGAGTGTAGTTGCTGGCTTAAGAGGGAGTTTATTCACATAACCATCTGCAAAATGAGTGTCTGAGGAGACAGCACAGAGAGTGAATACCTGAAATTATATTTATAGGGGACTGCCACCATGGCAACATATTATTTCACAGTCTACTATCTGGATTCTCCCAATTAATGTCTCTTCATCATGCACAAAAACCCACACCCTCCCAAAGGTTTGACCCATTATGACATCATGTTGAACTCCAGAATAGCATATTGAAATCTTTTCCAGATTCAAATGATGTTTCATTGCTGAGATCCCTGTTGATCTGCAGAACTAAGAACCTAAAAGTAAGTTATTGTTCCCTACACCCACAACACACACGGAACAGGGGCAGGATAATTGGAAGATATTCTCCCATTCCAAAAGGCAGGGAACACAACAGTGACTGATCCACTGTGAGTGTGAAGTGCAGCTGGTGTTTTCAGGGTTCCTGACTACAGGGGCAGGGAATGTTTTCTATTAGAGCACAGTTCTGCTCCCTGTGATTGGTTCTCTGTGTCTTTTGGCTTTCTTACTAGTATCTCGCCCCTACACTGTTAGTCATCCACTCTAAGAATTGCCCACATGCTGGTTGCTAGTTTCAACAGCTTTCTGAAACCTCTTTAATTTGATCAACAACATTATGAAGTGCTTTTTTCTCTTCCAAGTTATCACAGGCAGCATTATTGCTAATTGCTCAACACATAACATGTGTTGGCCTTTCAATATTCCCAATAACAATATCTTTACTGATCTTCCAGCCTGTGCTCACAGTCTCCTTGCTATTCTTTAGCCTCTACCATCTGTTCAGTCCCAAAGCAAATACCACAAGTTTTAACTTTTTGTTATGGCAACACCCATATCTTGTACAAATTATTTGCTTATAGTTTCTGCAATCTGGAAATCTGGATTGGGTGCAGTGGGTCATTCTTTTTCCGTCTTATCTGAGGTCACTTATGCAACTGCAGTTATTTGGAGGTTTAACAGAGCTGCATATCTCCGATGGCTTCACTCACGTATAATGCTTTGTCTGTTATGTTAGAGGCCCTAACATTGTATACTGTCTAAATCCTGGTAACAATTTTAGTATGTTTTATTTCAGGAAATTATTCTAGTTATTTTTTTCTGACACATCAACTATAAGGGGTTACTCACCTTAGCATTCAAGGGATTTCATATACTGGCCTTGTCCTCTTCTTTTCTCACCTCAGCAAGTTATGTCCAGTATTCATTTTTTTTATAACTTTTGAACAATCCATGTGTTTTTGTATCTCTTACATTTCTTCATATTTTACCTAGCTGCTTTTGTACCCTTCTTTTTCTGTGATGGCATTTCATTTATTCTTCAATGTCTAATGCAAATGTCATGCCTCTGGGTCTTCACAAAGTTAATATCATTCTCCTCCATGCTACAATTTGTGCTAATTATTTGTGTATCTGTTTCACTAGGGCTGTCAGATAAAAGAAGTGCACTTAAGAATCACATGATGTGAGTGATCACAAA